CCCCAAAACCCCAAAACCCCAAAACCCCAAAACCCCAAAACCCCATTTCATACAGAGAACATTGAAAATAAACTATTGTAAATGATATAGAGTTTGGCAAAAATAGTCAATAAAATTTTGATATTTTAAATTTAGCCAACAGCTGTGTAGGAGTCTGATGCTCTCTTTCTGCGAATGAAGTAGAATATGCCACCTCCTATGGCACCGACTCCAACAAGAACTGCGACAATTATCCCAAATATGGCTCCTCCACCTAATCCACCACTGCCTAAATAAAGAATGTTAGTATAAAAAGCATATAGAACTTCTTATAAACTAACTTTAAACCCATTTCTGATTCATAGATTTAGTAAAAGCCTTACCTGATTTATCTTCTTCAACAAGAAAGATCCCAACTTTGAATCCTCCTACTGTATCTTTCTTTTTAGGAACTGCTACAAATGTTAACATTTGCATTGGTTCAACTTTGATAAATTGTCCAGGCAAATCTGTGAACGTATGAGAAGTCTTGTAAGTTGACTTTAAGTCTCCAGCTCTAGTATATTGATCCACAGCGCCATAAAACATGGATACTTCGACATCTTTCATTTCAGATTCTACAAGTTTGTAAAACTTCTCATCTCCTTGAGCTCTGCTCATAGTTCCTATAACGCAAGCCTGATTTGCTGGGACTGAGGTTGTCTGAATATTTGTCCTAGGTCCTCCAAAGACATAATAAAACCCGGAGCCACATTCATTTTCATCATTTGGGCATAAAAGATACTCTGCATGCTTTCCAGCCTTTTTCAAGTCATTGCTACAGAATCCCATTGTGCCACTTCCTCATTCAGTTGAACTCTCATCCATATCACATCAATAGATATCGTCTCCATTCTTATTAGGTGTTCACACCTTCTTCCCATCTCCAATACAGGCACCTCATTGTTGGCTATCACCAGTAATCTCAATAGCAGCTTTTGCTGCTAGCATTAGTATTAACAGTAAGACCAAGGGTTTCATATAAGTCATTTCAAATCAAACCCTAATGAAATCTAAAATTATTCTATTATCAATTCTTTTGCCAAATATAGGGGTTTTGGGGTTTTGGGGTTTTGGGGTTTTGGGG